GAATACAATTGAGGGTGTGGAATGAGTGGTTATTTATCAGTAGGAATGACAGCCTGCTTTTGAGAACAGCTGGGGCTCGATTCAGCTGAAATAATGAACAAGGTGTCTGTTTTTGTATACTTATTGTATACTGTATAGTGTATAGTGTATACGGTGCTGGAGAATATGTTAGGCTCTTTAGAATTGTCCATTTTCTCAGAGAACACTTTAGACTAATTCTAACTTTGAATGAACAAGGTATCAGCATGTTTCTTTTGTATGCTACAACTAAATAGTTTATAGTACTTAGTGTATAATGTATACTGTATACTGTGGTGCTGGAGAATATGTTAGGCTCTTTAGAATTGTCCGTTTTTTCAGAAACACATTAGACTAATTCTATCTTTGAATAAACAAAGTTTTGGAATGTTGTCTTTGTATACTACAACTTAATAGTGTATAGTGCATAGTGTATAATGTATACTGTATACTGTGGTGCTGGAGACTATGTTAGGCTCTTTAGAATTGTCCGTTTTTTCAGAAACACATTAGACTAATTCTAAATTTGAATGAAGAAGGTTTTGGAATGTTATCTTTGTATACTACAACTTAATAGTGTATAGTGCATAGTGTATAATGTATAATGTATACTGTGGTGCTGGAGAATATGTTAGGCTCTTTAGAATTGTCCGTTTTCTCAGAAACACGTTAGACTAATTCTATCTTTGAATTAACAAAGTTTTGGAATGTTGCCTTTGTATACTACAACTTAATAGTGTATAGTGCAAAGTGTATAATGTATACTGTATACTGTGGTGCTGGAGAGTATGTTAGGTTCTTTAGAATTCTCCGTTTTCTCAGAGAACACTTTAGACTAATTCTATCTTTGAATGAACAAGGTTTTGGAATGTTGTCTTTGTATAATACAACTTAATAGTGTATAGTGCATAGTGTATAATGTATACTGTATACTGTGGTGGTGGAGAGTATGTTAGGCTCTTTAGCATTGTCCGTTTTCTCAGAGAACACTTTAGACTAATTCTAACTTTGAATGAAGAAGGTTTTGGAATGTTGTCTTTGTATACTACAACTTAATAGTGTATTGTGCATAGTGTATAATGTATACTGTATACTGTGGTGCTGGAGAATATGTTAGGTTCTTTAGAATTGTCCGTTTTCTCAGAGAACACTTTAGACTAATTCTAACTTTGAATGAAGAAGGTTTTGGAATGTTATCTTTGTATACTACAACTTAATAGTGCATAGTACATAGTGTATAATGTATAATGTATACTGTGGTGCTGGAGACTATGTTAGGTTCTTTAGAATTCTCCGTTTTCTCAGAGAACACTTTAGACTTAGTCTAACTTTGAATGAAGAAGGTATATGTTTGTAAACATATTGTATACTGTTTAGTGTATAGTGTATACTGTGGTGCTGGAGAGTCAATATTTGTCAGCTTATTTATTTTTAGTTTTCTCTGAGAACACATTAGACTAAGTCTAACTTTGAATGAACATGGTTTCGAAATTTTGTCTTTGTATAATACAACTAAATAGTGTATAGTGCATAGTGTATAATATACTGTATACTGTGGTGCAAGAGAGCCGATCTATGTAAGCTTTTTTAGGATTCCCCGTTGTCTTAGAGAACACTTTAGACTTAGTCTAACTGTGAATGATTAAGGTATATTTTTGTATACATATTGTATACTGTTTAGTGTATAGTGTATACTGTGGTGCTGGAGAGTCAATATTCGTCAGCTTATTTATTTTTAGTTTTCTCTGAGAACACATTAGACCAAGTCTAACTTTGAATGAACATGGTTTCTAATTGTTGTCTTTGTTTGCTACAACTGCATAGTGTATAGTGTATATTGTGTATTGTATACTATAGTATTGGTGTGTTCAAGTGTCAAGCTAGTTGTCACTTGTCCTTCTTCAGCATCCTAAGTTTTATCCAAGAGCAACTTAAATAAGTATAGTCAACAATAAACAATGTGTATCTATGTCCGTGTTTGTATACTGTATAGCGTATAGCGTATACAGTATTCTTATAAATCAACGTGTGGAATCCTAAGTTTTATCCAAGAGCAACTTAAAAATGTCTAGTGAACAATTAACAATGTGTCTATATGAATTTGTATACTGTATAATGTACACTCTTTTAGTCTATAGGGTATTACTGCAGTGGAGAGCAAAACTGAGGTCAATCTATATCTACTTCTTAAGGATCTTAGATTTTATCTGAAAACACCTTAAATAAAATATCGCTAATAATTGACAAATATCTAAACTACTGTATACTGTAGTTTATAGAATACATCGTAATGATTATTAGGATACTCCTAAGGATTATTATCCTAGGATTATCAGGATACTCCCTAATATTTTGTAGGATATGCTGTACTGCTGGAGCTTCAATCCACTCAACTTCTTCGGAAACATCATCTTAGACAGATTTAGTTGGTGCCTGGATTTCTGTGTGTTGTATACTGAGTGGCATCAATGCTAGTCAGCTTCTTCAAACTCATCATCTTGCTCAGAGTAAAACTTAGGAATGGTCTAGCTAAAAAGGAACAGGTATATGGATGTCTATGTGTAGACTGTATACTACATAGTGTATACTGTATACTACATAGTGTATACAGTATACTACATTTTAGTGTGTACTGTCTCAAAAAAGTACTGAGATAACATTTTACGTTACATTCCTCAGATTACTCAGGAGGAGTACCTTAGCATATTTTTTGTCCTAAGACGCTATAGACTCTAGCGTCGTTTTCACATTACTCAGGCTGGACCTAGGGGTTGCAGCATTATCACTTGGATAAAATCCATTGGTGATTTGACGGGATTTGAACCCGAGACTTCAGCGACCGAAGTCCATCGCTCTACCACTAGACCAGCTCACTCCCCAGAAAGAACACAACAGCTTTCTTAGAATTCTTTGGATGCATTGCACGACGTCCAATGATATAAGCCGTAGCACGACCAATCCCATGACTTCCAAAGCTTGTAGAAAGACGAAGATTCTTGCATTTACTCTAATTTGGACATGGTGAGATTTGGACGTCATGCAACAGTCGAAGGGTTTATATTGGACGTCTTGAGACGGCTCAAAAAGTAATTACATTTTGGACGTCGTGACACTGACTTGTATCATTGGACGTCGTGCAACACTCCCAAAAATTTACCTTCCTTTGAGAAAAGCTAAGACTAAGAAGGACAGATAGGGTTTGTATACTGTATATAACATTAGAGTGCTGTTGTATCGTCTGGTTCTTCAGTATCCTCAGCTTTTTCAGAGTAGCAGTTCATCCTAAAATAATCAAAACTCATACTATTCACAAACCTGAATCCAACGGTCCATTGAAGACCAAATTCGCTATACTATGATGACTGGATAGGGGTAATACGTCAGGTAGAGCCTTAAACCATCAATCATTTACTATGTGATTCCTAGGCACTTCACACCACAGCTATATGTCAAAAAGTCACTCATTTCCCATTTCAACAAACATTAGTTATACAGGGTGTTTCAAAAAGGACTTTCACTTTAGGGCTATCACGAACATGTTTCAATGTTTCACGTGGATTTTCACTACCACTTAAGTAAAACGTCACTAGTCAGAAAAAAATTACGTTGTCGAAGAAATGTTCATCATCACCACTTGATTTAACATCCACACAGAAGTTCTTACTGTCCCTCGTCATTGTCTTTAATTGCTTGTAAACGCGAATATCGTTACGGTTTCGCAAACACACGCCAAACCGTCGTATGCAGCTCACGAGATGCACGTCTGGTCGACTTTGTAGGCTGATGACAAACGTTTGTGTCACTTGTAATAGCTTTGTAAGATGTGCGTGGACGACTTTGGGGATGTCTTATGCTTTACCATAGACAAAAAGAATTAATTATAAACCGTCAGCTAAGCTGCCGTTACCATAGGTTCTAGCGCACACCGCTGGGAGCACCATGTAGTTACGGCATACGCGCTACGTAACTATATGGCACTCCCAGCGGTGTGCGCCAGAACCTATGGTAACCATGGTAACCACAGCATGGCTTACAGTCTTTATTTAATTATTTTTGTCTATGGTTATACTGAGCAGCACACATCTATGCACACATATATTTCGGAATCCTAGGAGGATTTTTAGAGTACTTGGTACGAAAATTACAACTGTTATCGCCGACTTTGATTCTTCAAACCAAAACCCACAACTAGCACGCCCAGATCCAGTGAACGCATTCTTGGTCATATTTAAATGTAACCACATTTAACATAAGCCGCTAGCACTTGTGTGGTGCGATTAGGCTCATGGACTACACGAGTCAAAACTTGATGTGTTTCCCTTTGAAAAAAAAAAAAACACTAAATCGAGCTTTTTAACTTTTTGGAATAATTTTATATGAATTTTTAAAGTTTTAAAGTGACATTGACTTCGGATATGGACATAATAACATGAATATATGACTAATGGGCCTACACTTAAAACCTAACTAGACATAATGTTTAGTAAATAACAAACACTAAAATAAATTCAACACCTGATACTAACATAAACATAAATATTAGATAAATTAAAACATTTTGTATTTAATATTTATGTGTATTTGGTAAATATCGATATGAAACTGTGAAGTATATTCCATACTGTATAATATTCCAGTATTAGTATTTATGAACCTACTACAGTTCAGAATTTAATTTACTTGTTTCATAGTGTTATTGGTGATCTGTTTATTCATTGCTGCCAGCTTGAGTGTAAACGGTGTTATAAAAACATAATGGTACAAACAAATTTCAGCAGTCCACAATCAAAACTGCCAAAATATTCAATTTCCAAACTTGATTCTTGAAACTCACCGATTCAGTCTCGAAACCGAAACTTTTCCAAAGTTTTCATGGTTTTGAGACTCAAGATTCGGTTTTGACACATCACCACTAACTAATATTTTCTAACTGTTTATTTTGCGTTTTTATTCATCGAGGTGTTAGGGAAGAAAATCATACATGAAACAATATCTCTTTATTGACAGTTGTTACATAGGTTTGCCTACTGTATACATCTTATTGTAGCTAAGTTTTGTAAAACAACCACTATGAAAGATATCAATGAAACTAATCCCCTAGTTACACACAGGAAAATATGACTTTGACCTACAAAGGTTTTCCATTTTTAACAAGTTAAAAAAAGTTTGGAAACGAAATCAAACTCAGACATAGTTTTGAAAGAAATTTCTTTATGGTTTGGAAAACGGGGATTACAGCTGAATTATTAATTTAGAGAATTCTGCCTACTTTTTATATAGACAAAATTACTCCAAAGACGTTTGAGGACGTCTTGCGACACTCCATGAATTGACTGAGTTTAAACAAATTCATAACAAAAATACTTTGGAGAAAATCCAAAAATCCATTCACATTGAGAAGGTAAATTACACATTTATTATAGCTGTAGAATATTAAGACAGTGTTACAAATTGTTTTTTTTTTTTTTATTATAGATTTACACGACCTCCAGTTCTAACAAAATTCTGTTTTTAACCAAAATTCAATGTACTTTCAATCAGACAAGATCATTTACAGCCATATTTATTTGTAAATAAGACCAATATTCAAACAGTTTAAACTAAACCCAAGAAAAAGGTAATACAAATCATTTCAGCAACCGTGAAAAAAAAAAACAGATGAAATAAACTATAATCAACTATTAAATCAAAAAAATTATGTCACACCCCTTAATTTCCCAGGCCCGAAATTAACGTCCAGTAAAATAGAGGCAAAGTAACTTTGGCTGAAGGATTTTCATCCGAGGCTTTCAACCATAACGGAAAATAATCTATATTACAAAATTCAACAATAATGTTTTATTTAGAATATAACATTGCTTAGAAACTAAGTGAAACAATCAGAGGGTTGAAAGAATAAAATTCTAGTTAGGGTTGCTTTCTGCCATCCTTCTATAAGACCGTAGCTGTAGCTGAAACAAATAAAATATTGAATTAATTATTTTTTTACAAGTTGTGTTTCCTACAACAAAAAAGTGAGATCCCTAACTTTCTCATGTTCTAAATACAAATAATGGGGGTTTCAAACGAAACGAATTACAACTGTGTTTTTAAAGTTCAAAATTGCAGGGATAACTATTTTTAATTTTTATAGGCCTTTTCCTACTCTAATTGTGTTGACTACACTACGTTCGAGGAAGGAAGAAAACTCCTCCCGTTTTCAATGGTTATGTCCTATTCCGCCCGAGTTTCATTTCGTCCGTAACCTAATTAGTCTCAGTTCGCCCACGGTCCCAGATTAACCCTTATAATCCTCAGCTCTACCTGCGTCAGGAGCCTCATTCCATCCACGGAGGCGAAGCCCCGCCTCCTAGGTACCCACCCTCTCCCAACTATGACCCCATCACCTTCCATCTCCGACTACACGGTTATTGAAACTTAAAATATATGTTTGACAAACCAGACAAACCAAACGAATTTCCTTTATAGTATTAATGTAAAGTTGGAACACAAAGGTCTCAGCATTAAAATATAAAGTGGCATGTGTCTTTATAGATTGGTTAAGTTAAGCTGAAATAAAAAAAAAACAGAATACAGTAATACCTTTTTGTCTATGGTAATACATGGTAATACCATGTAATACCAGCAAATAATCACACCTGAGGTGATAAATTGAAAGAATAACAAACAAATAAGTACAGCTGAGGTATCATCGCATAGTATGAAACATAACGTCGAAGAAAACGTTATGCTTAAATTTGAATAATTCTAGTTACATCTTAGAGTTGTTTGAAAACTTGTTAGAAACTAATTTTAAATATCTCTATTTGTGTCGTCAAGGATCACCTACATTATTTCTGCTCTAATTTTTAACTGATAACTTCCAGTGAATGCTAAACACCCTGCTTCAATTCGAGTTAACATGTTGCAACAAATTTTTACCATCATTGAGACTTGAAGAAAACTGTTGCTTTACTGAGACCTGTGTTAAGTATTTCAAGTTGGGTAATTTCTTTATTTATTTCTTTGATTTGAGACATCACCTAAACCAACGAATTTTCTCCGTAGGGAATCCTGTAAATTGGGGTGATGTCAACCATTTCATGTGGTCCATGTTTGACCCACAAACTCTGGGTTAAACACAGTCATAATCCGATTGTAATATGCTAAAGCAACTAGCAGCAACACCACTGAAAGTTGGTTAACGTATTTTCACGTGTTGTCTGTCAGTCACAGTATATGCCCCGCATCGGATCATTCTCACGTTGTTCAGTGAAGTTTCTCTTAATAATAATAATAATGTCTTTATTTAGCAAGCGTTTTTCAGATACAATATTTCTGCTTTTCAAAACAACTCTTGTCCTTAATACTAATAAACAATTCATAAAAACTAACTATAAAACAATATATAAAAAATCTATCTCTTAATACCTGTCCCAAAGTTTTGAAAGTATGGATTCATTTGTCAAAATAGGTTGGATAACTCTTGTAGCTGTAAGATTTGGATAAAAATTTTCATTTTCTCTTTTTGAACAGCGTATATTATTTGAGTCTCCTAAATCATAAAAATAAACTTGACCGTAACAACTCGATCGTTGAATACGTCGTTGAATGGATTGCAGTGTTATCGTATGTTTCTGTATGACGTTAAACACTATAATCCAAATAATTTAACTTGCTTACTAACACATTTTAGATGGGGAGACAATCATACAGTGACTAACAGCACATGGGCAGTAAATTTTATTAATCTGTTATGTCGTAAACATTTATAAATACAGATTACTGTTGAAGCTTTTTCAACCCAAAGGAATGATCCAGATTATAAAGATTTAACATTTCCTTATAACGGCTTCGTCAATAAAGAGACATACCACTTTATATTTTCATGCTGCTTTATATTTTAGATCTTTGCGTTTCAACTTTACATTAATACTATAAAGGAATTCGCTTGGGGAGGGTCTTTCCATATTTGGGGAGGGTGAGGTCCTAGGAGGCTGGGCTCCGCCTCCGTGTATGGAATGGGACTCCTGACCCAGGTAGAGCTAAAGATTATAAGGGTTAATCTGGGACCGTGGGCGAATTGAGACTAATTAGGTTACGGGCGAAACGAAACTCGGGTGGAATAGGACTACACGGTTTTCGAGTGACCTTATCTACATTTACCTATTATAAGTGCCCTATCTAACCTAACCAACTAATGTATATTTCCTCCTTTCTCAGGAACAAAAGATTAGGTAGAAAATAGAACTTTAGATACTAGAGCAATCTATGACTGGCTAACACAACTAAGTTCTTTTTTAATAAAAAATTGCAGCAGTTGGTCGATTTAGCTGGGATTTCTACTAGTCAATGGTTATACAGGGTGTTCAAAAAAGGTTGGGACATAATTTACGTAGTGATTTCTTGGGTCAAAATAAAGAGAAAATCAAGAATAAATGTTTTCCAAAATCGCTTCTTTAACCAGATATCCACCATTTTGTATTTTTTACATAAACATTTTTATTTTTTTATTTTTTTCAACCGATATTTATGAATCTTGGTATGTATGTTAAAGTAGAAGAAACCCATGTTATATAACAATTTAATCTGATACAATTTACTTTGATCTCAACAAACTTAGCTTTACTTAACTTACTTTAATCTCAAACAATTTAATTTGATAGGGATTTTGCCATCTTTCAATATTGTATACATTCTTGTAAACTGGTGTAAACCGTTGGGAAATAAATAAATAAATCTCGATTCAACTTAAAGTTTCAAAATGGCGGCCATTATAACTTCTTAAACTTAAATTACTCGAAAACGGCTAACCTTATGAAAAGATGTCAAGAACACTTTTATTTAGCATTTTTCTCCCTATCAAACGATACCAAGTTCAAAAAGATCGAATAATAAATAGCTCAAATATTGTGATTTTCGATGTAAAATGTGGTAGAATAAGGCAGAGGCAGTAATGTTTGTCCAATTTTACAACTAAAAAATCGTAATCTTATATGCAAAACTGTCAAAATACAAAGACATTATGTAACCTCTTTTAAGTCGCAAAATGGTATTCAATTGTTGGGAATTCTTAGTTTCCGTGGTGATGCTATTTAAAATAAGCTAAATAATAACATTTTGGTTTAAGTACAAAGCGTTGTAATTTCAAGGTCCTAAAGAACAATGTCAGTTCTTTAGGTTAGGTTAAGTTAGGTTAGGTTAGGTTAGGCTCGTCACACACTGCGTCCGGTCCGTTAAAATCGGATCCGGTGTTTTTCACCGGATCCGGCAAATCTCCACACACTGCATCAGGCGTTCCAGTTCCGGCGACCAGTCTGAGTCCATCCGAGGACAGCGGTATTGTGAGTTTAAGAAGTGTTTAACCAACAACATACAGTAGTTTGTTGTTTTAACCAAATTTCCCTAAAGCAATGACAGTGGCAGTGAAGAGATCTTCGTAGTTGCAGCAGCTCTTGCTTAAACGTCCTTGTGGCCTAGGTCGTATAGCACAGGGTACGCCTGTACTAGCACAATCAGTTTCTCTTCCAATGACATTTTGTAACAAGTTGTACAGCGTAAATTAATGGTTTTCGAATTCACCTGACCCGGCGTGCCGGATCCGATTTTACCGGGCAGGACGCAGTGTGTGACGAGCCTTAGATTAACCAAAGCTTTTCAAAACCTACCCACTGCCGCAGAAGAGGTACAATGTCAGCTTGTTTAATGTTGTCAAGGGGAACTCGGTTTTCAGGTTCTTGTTCTACGGGAGGGAGAAACTCTGGGGGTGGAAATTCTTCATCTGATCTCTTGCCGTGCCCTCCAAAACACGAGTGACCGAAAGAAGAACAGCCTCCTGCAACAAAGAATTGTGAACTTTGAATCTCATGTTACCAATAAATTTCTCCAGTTGTATATGCTTTGCTTTTAGTACAGTGAGTGTGGTATAGATTAGGTTAGAATCCAATATCGTGATTTTGAACCTCCTGAAGTTCGTTATTCTGAAAAAAAAACACTTAAACACGATTTTATATTAATTAATATTTTCCACGACAATGCCATTTACAAAAATAACACTCAGTTGTGATAAATAAATAATTGTAAGATTATGTAGTACCTCGAGACGATAAGATGGATGATTTAGAAACAACACAACAAATTAACACTTCATCAACAATACACCAATGCAAGTGATTAACAACAATATAACATTTCAATACCAATGATCGATGCAAAGTGATTAACAAAAAATAACAATAACAATAATAATAACATGAATAAAATCCTATAATGCATAATTGTATAATGTAGAGTAGAATGTATGAATGTATAAATTGTATAGAATGTATTTGAGTGTAGAATTGAATCTGTGGGATTTTGTGTTTAAGAGAAACCAAAGTGTCACTATAGAGGTCAACATAGGTTGGGAATTCAATCCCTAACCGTTGGAGTCGAATCATCGGACTATTACCCAGATAGTTAGTCCTGTACTGCGTCCTGAAGAACATCTGCAGACCTGGTACTGCCTGGAACTCGAAACAACAGCTGTTCCCATAGCCAAGGAGAGTCGATCCTACCATTGATCAATTTAAACAGAAAGCCGGATATGCAACTTCTCTTCTTTTGGCCAGAGCATGAAGATACAGTGAGTAAGGACTCAAGTTCTTCAACTGGGACTATTCGCCAATTTTTCAATCAACTCTGAGACCTCCAACAAACAAATTTTGGAATATCCATAAATTAATCTGTCACATCCAAAAACTTCACAATGGCTATTGTAGATCCTCCATTTAAACTCATCTGGAACATGCCTAAATTATAAAGCGGTTTTGGAATACATACGAGTTCGTTAAGGAATTTTCAAAAGATCTCCGATTTTTCCAGGATCTTTATAAATTCCTTGATTACTCTGGTACCTCCACCAATTCTTCGATGGCTTTGGAACCTTCATCAATTTAAAACCTATTTTACAAACTCCTCTAATTCAGAAATGATTCTGGAATCTCCTCAATGCTGAACGACTCTGGATCCACGAACACTCCTTAAATTACCCTCAAACTCCCACTGACTTTAAACATGTGTATGACAGTAAAATTTGAAAACAATGAACCACTTTTTATGGGGAACAGTTTAAAATCCTCAAATATTTGTGGATGTAACTGGTATTGAACCCGTCCCTCTTGCAATTGAAGTCCGAGAAATTAACCATTTGGATTTAGCAACAACAAGCACACCAAACTTAAGACTTTAGAAACTCCACGAATTTTGAATGACTCCACAAATTCTTATTTCCGTAAAACCTCACTTATTAAATACGAAAATATTGTTAGGTTTCAAGAGATATAGTTTGGGTTCCAATGTGGAATTTATTTTCCATTCTTAAAATGTTTTACAAAATACACAGGTGTCCACACTTTTAGAAGAGAATTTAAATTTGGCAGTATTGCAGTGAGTATTTTACAGTAATCATAATCATCAATTAATACGACTTCCATCGGGTGTACATTGTTTCCTTTTGTAATGTATCCATTTTTTATATTGTAAGAGAAGTTAGGGGGGAAATTTCTGCAGCTACAGTGGTGTATTTTAAGTTTCAGTTTTTAGCAAGAATCCTTATTAACTTGCACTGAGCAACCCTCCCATAAAACTTTTTGTGCCCTTTGAGAAACTAATTTTGTGTGATACTCAGCCAAATGTTGTTAAAACGCTTAATAAGTTGTTTTCACTTTTCTTAGTTAATAATGACAAGTGGTTTGATCAAATACTATTTTATAATTAAAGTACGGTAACTATATTAATTAAATAATTTGATCAGCATCGTACATGTTATTAAATTGCCTGAAAGGACAAAAAATACGTCAAATAACAATTGTAATAATATATTTACACTTACACTGTTTACTCACAAGACGGTAAATACATATAAAAGATGGTAAGTGGTGATCGATTTCGATTGGACACCTCAATTATCATAGAGCCCAATAGGCGAGTAGCCAATTGTATACAAGGAACGCCATTGAGTTTCTTGTCATTAACTTATTGGGTCTGATGATGATTGGAGTGTCCAATCGAAATCGATCACCACTTATGTATTTACCGTCTTGTGAGTAAACAGTATAAGTGTAGATATATTATTACAAGTGTCATTTGACGTATTTTCGTACTTTCAGCTATATTATTACTACTTTTTAGAACTGTTCTACATAGAATTATAGTTTTTTGAGGTGTATTCAGGCCCGGGACCACCTTTATTTAACATTTTATGGTCTAACAGTGATTGAAATTATTGTAACTATTTATTATATAATTATTTCAATATTTGTACTCAATTGAATAAATATTATTTAGGACTAGGAGGTCATCAAAGTGTAGAGCGAATTATTTCAAATAAGAATTTACAATGAAAACTGAAATTTTCTTTTCACGCAGATTTTCTATAACAAGGTTAATTTATTGTTTGGCAAACAAAAAAAAAAACTAACCAATTGGCAACACATGAACCAAACCCATGCCACATGAAAGCTATATCCACACACATTACTATTGTCATATTTTCCTATTTTTACGCTCAAGATATTAATGAAGCTGGAAAATAATAAGGGGGGTTCTTTCCCCCCAGTCTTTGTACGCCTTCCTTCCTCACAGTTAAATGTTTCAGAACAAAGGCCCAACTGAGTTCGGTCTTTCTATGCGAGAAAGTTGCTACATTGACGAAAAATATTTGAAGTCATCGATGGGAAAACAAATTTTAAGATGGTGATATAAAGTAAAAAAAATTGATAAATTATTTAAAATTCTTTGTGACATTTTGTATTTTGTGTATACCATTTGATATTTGTGTATTTTGATTATACTAGTAAACAAGTAAAAATAATTAATTATTTAAAATTCTTGGTGATATTTTGTATTTTGTGTATACCATTTGATATTTGTGTATTTTGATTATACTAGTAAACAAGTAAAAATGATCAACTATTTAAAATTCTTGGTGATATTCTTAGTTAAATATTGTTTCTATTGCTGATTACCTTTTGCCTCTTAAAGAGATCTAACTATTTTTAAAAGTTTATTTTTGGCAATTTGGAGAGGTTGGGAAAAACCATTCAGTTTATGGTTTAGCAATACAAAAATACCAAATACCAAAAGCTCATAAAGCATTGCCAAGAAAACTATCAAAATATAAATATTTAAACAATTAAATCACAACTAAACAACACTGATATTCTTTAAGACCATAAAAAGGATTAGTTGCCAGTAAAACATAAATGTTTTTTTTTACTAACAAACTGTAGTTGAAGTTGTTTTGGGAATTATCCATAACTGCTAACTATTAGGGATTCGTATGGATGAATATTCAAGTTTGTTGTTTAACATTTATTGTTGGTGATGGTGAGCTTATTATGGTCAATTCCCATAAATGATTAGTTACTCATAGGATTTGCCATGTAGTAATATTAATATTATAATTCCAACTGTCTCCTTTAAGATTATTCTCATGAAAAAACTAAGATATGTACATATTTTTCACTGTGTAGACTACAAAAATCTATTTATTCAGATCTAAATAGGTTCAAAGCTTGTTATAGAGTTTTAGCTTAAACTTAATAGGTATATTCTTCTTCAAAATTGAATACTTTGGTTAATTAAATGTTTAAGCTAATGGATTCCACCATTTAACCTCAGAGTAATAATACATAATTATTAATCTGAGGTTTAACTAAATACTAGCCACTAGTTGAAACAATCGTAAATGCAACAACGAAAAAACTTTCCTACAACTTGAAATTTCATACCGATGACTATATAAGTGAATATATTAAGTTGTATAACTAAACACCACATATTTTTATAGAATGTTTTGTTAATTGAGAAGTTTTCCCTGACGTAATCCCAATACTGCATGCATATGCATATCAAAGTTTCTTACCTATTTCGATCAGACTGAAATTCACTGAGCGTAGATTTTGAAATGCATTCGTTATTGAAAAGTATATTTGCATATTACTTATTGCATTTTTATTGTGTTTAAACTAAAACTTGCTTAAGATATAGACAACCAAAGTTCCTAACACGAAATCGTTGTTTTTCAGAATGGTGCGACTGAATGTGAATTTTATTTGGGTTTACAAAACTCCAGTCTGATCTTACAGACATTGCCATGACGTAAATAATAGGTTTAACGAGTACTTAGGTTTGCTGCTATAGTGCAGGTAATGAGGTATGTCTTTAGTAAAATCTTATTAGCTTAGAATGAAATATACTAATTTGCCAAATTAGGTCGAATTAGTCAAAAATACTTAACATAGACATTTTAAATTACAACTTTTTTAAAGTTTCTCCGTAACTATTAACCGTACAAAACATTCAGTATACTAAATTATTTATTTTGAGCTACAAAGCTGATTAAAGAGAAACTGGAAAATGCTATGTTTTGAGGACCAAAATGAAAAAAAACCCTAATTTTACCCCATAAACCCCTGTTCCCATAGTCCGATCATACTGGTTCACAAACTCCTTTGAATAAACGTAGGTTTACAATGAATTTAAATATAAGTGACTATTAGATATTTGTTATTCAAATACTTCAATGGATAATCTTGCTATAAAAATATCAAGATTTTGACCAAACCTCAAAACTGTTATTCATTTATTTTACATTAAATTTAGACACATTCCGTTCAACTCAATGCTCTAGATAGTTTTTAGTGATGTTCTTGATTTTAAAGGTAAAAAAAAGTGATAAAGAAAATCAAGAACACGGAATTACAACGATTCCCTGATTTATGACGGATGGAAGAAATATTTATGCAAATGTGATTTGTTCTGTTGGGTTGAAGTAGAGATGATCATTCAATG